GCCAAAGTGCTTATTGACAGCTCCGCCGCAGCAAATGAACTGATTCTGGAGATGGACGTCAACAAAGAGTCGCTGGCTGCGCTGCAGATCGCTCCCACGTGGGAGTCCAAGACAATGAGGGAAGTGGAGTCGTTTCTGAGCAGATATGACACAGCAGAGCTGCCGGTGGAGAAGGACGTCTGGACCAGAGCTGAGAACGACTGTAACCGTCTCATCACGCTCGACACGGCGCTCTCCTACAGGGAGCTCCACTCTAAAGCTGTGATTGCTGGAGTGAAAGAGGAGGTGAAGGTCCTGTCAGACAAGATCAGGACGCTCCTGAAGAACACTGCTGCTGAGGTGGAAGCGGAAAGAAACACAGCTGAGGTGGACATCCAACTAGACTGCAGAGAGACGTTTGATCTAATTAAAGAGCGCGTGGAGTCCAGATTAGGGCAGGTGAGTTTATCTCATGATGAGAAGCAGCACATCATCTCCCTCAGAGGTCTGAAGGATCAAGTACATTCAGTGGAGATGCTCATCAAGCAAGCGCAGAAGAACATCGTCACGCACCAGCTGAAGCTTTCTTCACATCTGAGTCACTTTCTGAAGTCTCTGGATCTTGAAAAGTTTGAGCAAGACTATTTTCTCCCAAGCCACATTCCAGCTAGACTTTTAAAGCAACAGGATTTTTTTGGTATCTTAGTTGAGAAAGAAAACCTGAAGAGAGCTGAAGACAAAATAAGAGAGATTCTCAAAGAGCAGGTTATACAGCTTTCTCCCAATCAGACCGGTGACACGTGGACACACTTTCTCAGGAATCTTCAAGATGACATAGAATCGTTCCAGAAAGCTCACGACATCAGGATCGCACAATCAAATAATGAGGTTATAATATGTGGGTTTTCCAGTGCAGTTGCCGATGTTACCGGAAAAGTCAAGAGATATCTGGACAACAAGGAACCGACAACTGAGAACGTCCCTCTGAAATCTGTGCGAGAGGCTGAATTTGTGGAGTCCTGCCTGAATCTGTCCGAGCTCCCAGAACTCAAGAGCCTCGGCGCGACGGTACTAGCTTACAGAACATCAAACTCCCCTTGTCTGAAGATCACAGCAGCTAAAGACAATATCAAAGACGC